CCGGCTGGCTGCATGTCTCAGTTCATCCGCTTCTTTGGGGAGCAAATCATGGTGCTGTGGAAGTTCGCCCTGCTTCGGAAACGCATCGTCATTTTCTCGCCCCCGCCTGTAGGAGTGGTGTGCTACAGAGGTGAGCGCTGTCTGTCTGCCCGCACACCCATGCACACACATGCACACACATGCAGTATATTCACCTATTATGTTCGACAAGGACCCTGACGAAATAAAGAATGAACAAACGTGATTTCCTTCCTCTCCCAGTCCCTGGATGTGTAAACAAATATCGTTAATGCAATAACTAGTGCAGTCACAAAAAAACGTGAACAGTTTACATTACATGTGCAGGTGCTTGTGTGAGGCATGGGTGCCGTGGGCGCCGTGGGCGCCGTGGGTGCCGTGGGCGCCGTGGGTGCCGTGGGCGCCGTGGGTGCCGTGGGCGCCGTGGGTGCCGTGGGCGCCGTATGCCATGCGGGCCGCCCGCTGTGGGTTCTGCTTTGACACCGAAATGTCAAGGGACTGGCTTCGCCCACGGCTGTTACTGGGGTTCCTCTGGAATCCATAAAATCTTAAAATAGGTTTAGCAAGTGCTGGGAGTATTTCTGATACATTTTTGAAAATCTCTAAAATCCAAGAACGGGGTGGGTGGGGGGAGGGGGCGAGTGTCCCCTGAAGTGGAGTCCCACTCAAGTAGGAAAGAGCAGTGGGGGGGTCACCACCCTGGAAAGGTCTGCTGGCTGCACAGAACCTTCCCATTTGGACCCCATCTAAAATATTTCGATTTTTTGATTGATGGATTTTTGAGCCTGTACTACCTTGTGAGACTACTGCTCATATCCTGCCTGATGTGCTTCCTCTCTGTCACACACCCTGCTATTTTTGTTTTTGCTGAGGTTATAAAAACGGTATTAAGAAGCACTGAATTTGATGTTGAACGTTGTGAACCATGAATCCTGATTACTGCCCCCAGTGTACTGCTGCTGTTGCCTGGCCAACATCTCCCTTCCGCGGATGGAGGTCTCAGTGCCGGAGTTCCGCCCCTTCTTTTACATCAACGTGGCTGACATCGCCGCCCTGGAGACCGAGATGTCCTACGTGGCCTGTGAGTTCCGACCTCTGGCCGGGGCGGTCGGTTGAGGACCACCTGAATGCTCACGGTCCGCCTCTGGCGTGTTTTCTCCTGAAGGCACCACAGAGAAGATATTCGAGGAGAAGAAGGAGTTGTATGACGTTTACGTCGACAACCAGAACGTGAAGACGCACAGAGAGAGCCTGCAGCCGATGCTACGGCTCAACAGTGCGGACCGGGAGAAGTACAGAAAGCTCACAGAGCAGAGGTAGGACTGGATGGTGACGACAGTGATGATGATTATGATGACGAGAGTGACTATGATGATGATCATGATGACAATGATGACAGTGACTACAATGATGAAGATGATGATGATCTCTTCAGACAGATGCTGTTATACTCACAGGAAGTGGATGGAGACTGTTCCTCCAGTGAAGAGGACCTCTTCATCCTGTGAGTAGATGCCCTCCAAGAATTGACTGGCTGTGTATCTCTTACCAGAGGTCAATGCCAAGGGTTCTCCTACGTACTGGATGTTTGGACCAGCTCTGCACTGTGTTACTGAAGCTCCTCCTCTATCTGCAACAGGTTCTTCATGGAGCTAAACAACCGGATCTTCCAGACGCTGTCTGAGGTGGCGAGCAGCGTGGACCCCACCCTCACGGCAGAGCACGTGCGAGCCATGGGCCTGGACCCCCAGGGCGACCAGGGCTTTCTGGTGGACCTTCTGGAGCTCTATGGCATCGACGCCATGCTTGTCATCGACAACCCCTGCTGCCACTGAAGCTGGGAGCCGCCGCCGTCATCCTCTCTATCCCGTCCTGGAGAAACCGCCTTTCCCTCCGGAAACTCTAATCCTCTCCTGCTAGGTGACCCAGAACTTGGAAAGAAGCACCTTCCTGGGTGCCTATGTGGCTCACAGACTGTCTCCCTGTGTAGCCACAGCCTCCTCTAACCAGCCCTGAGACTGGCCCTGCCTGTGCCCCGAACGTGAAGCCGTTTGACATGCAGCCTGCCTAGTATGAAATCAGCTAAGTGCGTTGGTCTAGCGGCCAGTGCGTCTGTAGTTTGACCTGGAGTGACCAATCTTCGGGTCCCTCTCACGTCTGCTGAAGTGTCAGCGAGAAGATTAGAATAACGAGGGGACAGCATCAACATGTCACCCCATTTAATGTGCCTCTTCCAGCTACTTGCGTCACAAGTACTGCCGACTCTGAAAGTATAGTCTCGCTTTATGGTTTCTTCTCGGCCAACTGATTGTATGGAATACTGGGCCTATGGTGTGATCTGTATGGATTGCCGTGGGCTTCTGGGAATTGTAGTCTAGTTTCAGTTGTCTTACTGTGGGAGATTTTCAACTTGTCCTTGTGACTAAACCAAATTCACAGCTGCATGTTTTTCTAGCCCCCACCCCCCCTCGGTACGCACCTGAAATCGTTATTTTAAGACTCATTTTAAAAATAATTTTCTGCTTTTTTGGTGACATCTCTTTGTGCTGGGGGTGGGGGGTGTTCCGCTTCTTGATGTGACGGGTTTGCACAAACCGCAGCAGCAAATCCCCCTTGTGACCTCAGCTTATCGTTTGTACAAACTAGCCTTTCTTCAAAAACAAAAAACAACAGGTTCATCATTCCTCTCTCCAGAGGAGTGTGCAGGAGAGCCCGCCAGCTGAAGAGTGTTAAAAGAGGAATATTCTGTTTTTCTGAGAGGACCTGCTATGCTCCGGAAAGACGGCAGCAAAGAGGTGCCTGTCAGGAACAGGAATTGGTGAAAGTCTCGGGAAAGTCTAGGTCACGACAACAGAGGAAGAAGAGAAGAGAAGCAGAAGCGGCCGCGTGAGATCCGAGGAGGAACAGCTGTGACTTGTGGTTGAGAGATTCCTGTGATGCGTGCCCGCGTGTGCGTGTGTGTGTGTGTGTGTGTGTGTGTGTGTGTGTGTGCGTGCGTATGTTTGTGTGCGTGCACACACTGAGGACCCAGCCTGTTCCTGGTGTGTGTAAAGAGCCGAGAGCAGCTCCCCTCCATACGTGTACCTATGATACGGTTCCTCTTTTTCTGAGGATGCTAATAGATGTACTTTAAGAAAGTATTAAATATATACTACTTATTAAATACTAGCCATTCAATGCTGAGGGAAACGAATAGTGTGAATCCACAAGTTGGAGATGAGTGTACAGTACAGTTTTAATTTGTATGTTGTCAGAGACATGGAGATGTTATACGTTATTTTTACATAATGACTGTAAAGATACATGTTTTTGCACAATATATATGTGTTAATGTGACCCTCAAACTGCCAGTTATACTGGATATAACTTGTCAGAGGTACGGTTCAGGTCCAGAAAGCAAAAATCCAGACCAAGATTTTTATTCAACCCACCAGTTGAATATAAAGATTCTTAGTCACTGAGTACTCAACTGGTTGGTCGAAAACAAAATCTTGATCTGGATTTTTGCTTTTTGGACCTGAACTATACGTCTGTGACCTGGAAATCGTGAGTTAAAGTAACAGGCTGATTTAGCCACTTGGTGAGTGTTAGACCACCAACTATAACATATTTATTGTGGTTTTAGTCTGACCAACCCTAACTGTAATTTCTGTCGTGAATGACCTGGAATCGCCAGCATGTACTTGGCGTGACGCCGGGGTCAGAGGTCATCTTTGTATGCACGGTACTTCATAAGACCGCTTTGTTTCATTAAAGCGAGCGACTCACATATGGACCTGGTGATGCCATAAGCATCCATTGTGCTTGTCTCACTGCTTCCTTCTGGAACATGAACGGCCGTAATGATGACATATTTTACAACCAGAGATGGGGGGGGGGGAGTGATGATGGAATTAAGGGGTTTAACATGAACAACAACATGCTAATATGCTAATGCAGGGAGTGAAGTGATCAGTAGGCTCCTGGTTGAAGTCCCAGACTCCATAGTGATTTCAGAGAGAAGACCCAGCCGCTTCAGGGCCCTTTCAATTGTCTGCAAGATCAATAAAGTGTGATGTAGCTCAATCACATCAAAAGGACAAAGCGGCCCAGTGATGTTCATATGATGCTTTGTGAATCATTTGAAGCCTGTGTCACGTTCAGCCGGAGATGGTCCCTCTTGGCAGGAGCTCATTCTAGCCTGGAGGGAATGGAAGCCTCTCGCACAGGAAGGCGTGTCACAGCAATGACACACTGAGCCAAACGGCAGTGTTTGCCTGTCGATGGCTGTGTGGCGGCAGCCACAGGTAACTGTGCGGCTGGGTAACTGTGAGCCGCAGTGGAATTTCAGCTGTACGCAGGTGTCAGGTGATGTGAGGTGATGAGAGTCAATGTGTGCTGAAGGTCACGCCCTGAATATACACACAGCAAGCCGCCGCTCGAAAAGTTAACAGCCCCTGGCCGGCCTCCCATAAGGCTGCTCTTTGCTCAGGGTTTAAGCGGTAGATTAAAATATGTGCTTTTCCAGAAACTCACGGAAATCGACATCCTTCTGTGGGGAAGGCTGGAACAAAGGGCACAGTTTGTTTTTACAGACATAATCTAGACAGAAATTAAGTAGTTCATGTTTTATTGGTTTGATTTTATTTCCAGATGAAAGCGGGTGAATCGGTGACAGTCCGTCACCCTACGGCCCCGGCGCCTCTGGACCTCCCAGGCCTGCTCCGGGGGGCCAGGGCCCCTTAACGCTGGGGGGGCAGCGACAGCCCACCCCCCCGCTGCTCAGTGTGGCTCCGACAGCAGCTGGTCCCTCCGCTCGGCGCTGCAGAAGAAGCGCAGCTTCCGTGGCAGGAGCCTCACCTCCACAGCCATAGCCTCATACTGCTCGTTATCGATGTTATAGAAACTGGCGCCCTCCTGTGGACAGGTTGAGAAGTGCAGGTCATCTAACAGCTGTGCGGTTAAAGGTTGGGTTTTATGTTAAAGATTTTTGAGTAACTGACCTTAGGCAGGCCGATTCTGCACACGCTCGCCTGAACCTGCTGTCCCCGGGCTGAGCACAGACGCCCGTCCCCTGTCTTCTCAGTTCTGAGGCCGCGGGCAGTTAGAGGACACGAATCAATCACTCACGTTATTGTAGAAAAATAATGTGTAATTATACCATAATCCATGGGCAATTCTAGGATTTTTGGGGGCATTACAGGGACCACAGTTCATACAGAGGGACAAATCTTATTTTTAGCCAATGATATGCTTTGAATCTGTGTGACAGGGGAGGGGGCACTCTGGAAGCCAATCAGCTTTCAGCAGGGGCCTGTGGCCCCATCCCTGTGTTCACTGACGGACACCCACCCAATGGTGATGAACTCTCCCACAGTCAGAGTGTCGGGCTCCATACACACCAGCATGGAGTCCTGAGGACGCTGAAGGGGACAGAGTGTCATTCCGCTCTTCATTTGTGCTCAACAACTTCAAATCAATGTCATTTTTATATAGAGCCTTTCACAACACAAGGCACTTGGCAAAAGTGTGTGATGATCCATTAGTTACTAGGAGAGGAACCAAAAACCCACTGATAAGAAGCACCACTGGGGGTCTGTGGCAGACCAGCTACCCAACACCTCTCAGTCAGGCAGCCTCACCTCCAGCGCTGGGTTCCTGTTGAGCGTGCTGATTGACAGCTCTGCCGTGCTGACCTCCTCCTGCACCCAGACCTCCGGCTCCTCCTCCCGGGGAGGCTCTGTGAGCACAGAGGAGCAGGTGATCAGGCAGCTCCGGGGTCACCCCAACCGGGGTCCCCGCTGGCCTTCCCTGGTGACAGTGGGGGGGGGGGGATTACCTTCCACCGCGGGGCTCCAGTAAAGCCTCAGTCGGCGGATGATGCGGTTAAGCAGTGGGGGCCGGGGGGGCTTTTCTGTGGGCTCGTCTGGGGGGCGGGGGGTCGGACCCAAGTAAGAGAGGGACACCTGTTTGTTCTGGGGCCACTCCTGACCCAGGGAGCAACAGAAAAGAATGAGACAGGAAACAACACATACAGAAGAACAAAGTAACTCATAAAGAACTCAAAAGAGCCAGGGAAGATGCTGACTCACTGGCGACCCCTACTGACCCTTAGCGTGCTGAACCAGTGCGCCGCTTTTGTCTTCAAAGGACCCAAATACCAATACCTGGCAATAAAGAAAATGAGCCACATTGCAGTGACATTCAGAACCTTCCAGTGGGCAAACATCTTTATCTGATGCTTAAACAGTGCTGTCACTCTAGCTTCACAATTGCTTGTGGGAGTGGAGTGCTGACATTTCAGGGACTCCCCATGCCTGCATTCCCACCTGCCTCTCCCTCCTACTTATGCTGCCATAGCCATATCTGCCGGAGCATTGCACTTCATATTGCACTCATCTAACTTTTAGCACTGCCTATAGTCTCCCTTACTTTGACTAATTGCATTTATTTCCACCACCTTCTCCTGGGTGGTGCTACCTGGAGCCTTCAATCTATCAAGATGTCCAGCACACCCTGCAACATGTGACGTCGCCACTGCCAATGACGACCGTGCATCCAGCTTGCCGTTCTGCCAGTGTCACCTTCCTTGTATGACCCGCTCCCTGCCTTCTGGCTGCCTGGCGATTGGAGGGAGTGGTGGCACCGGCTTGTCATCTCCCCCCTGCTCCCCGTTTGTGTTTCAGACTAAACTGTATTTGACTCTCCCTGCCGGCCCCTGGAGGATGGGCTCCCCCTTTGAGTCTGGTCCCTCCCAAGGTTTCTTCCTTCTAGGGAGTTTTTCCTTGCCACTGTCGCCTATGGCTTACTCACTGGGGGCTTTGGGTGGGGATGCTGTAAAGCGCTTTGGGACAATGTAATGTTGTGATAATGCGCTATACAAAAATAAATTTGTTTGTTGTTGTTTGTTTACTGGACATATTTTTCTGGTGTACCGCTGGTAGCTGCCTGAAGGAAACCTGCATTCCCCCAGCACAGAACCACCACCGGAGGTACAGTGGGGGGGGTCTGTCACCGCAGTTACTCTTACTTGCTGATGGAGGTGGACACATCCCTGAAGGCGCCCCAGCGAACTCCCAGCAGAGCAAACACAGGCTGCTCCTTCTCTCCCTGTGGGTGTACAGACAGAAGACAGACAAACCGATGCAACGTCTGTTCATCGAAGTTCAGTTTCAGAGGCCAGGACAACTATCCATCAGAATAACACCCTCCCTCTTTAACCTCACTACACACTGCATTTTATTTCATTTACTTGGCTTTCATCAAAAGCAACCATCTATACAACTGTTGGGTTACGGCCATTCCGGTAATACACACGACTTTCTGGCTGCCGTGTTTCAACCATCTCCCAGAATCACCTTGATCTGCAGAACATCCAGAGGCATCGTCTCCCCCCTCAGGATCGACAGCGCAGCTGATGTGATGCTTCTGAGGACACGGGGAGAACATCACCCTCACAAGGGCACATGCTAGTGTCCGCGCGAGATCATGTGACCTATCCGTGCACGAATGCCGTGCTTGCCTGGTTCTGTGATGGGAAGGGGAGGGGCGGGAGGACTTACTTCACAAGGTTGTCCGTCGGCAAATACAGACTCTGGTTCAAGGAATTCTGGGAGCCCAGGGGAATGAATCCTATGGGAATTTTCCGGAAGGAATCCTGTATTCCAGGGACAGGGAAAATCTGTGTCAACAGCCTACGATTTGTTCCATCTGAATGGTAGCCATGGAAGCGATCGATAAAATACTCACTTGGTCATTTCGTCGGAGCAGACCGGTAATAACCTGTATATGGCAAGAGGTCAATGTAACATATTACATTCATTCTTGATAATTATGGGACATTTAGAAGCACTAATTCAGCAGAACCGCATCCTTCAGATGGTGGGAGGAAACCCATAGGAAGAACAGACTTCGGCCCCATGTGGGAAGTGGAGATTGAACCCCCTGCCCTCAAGGAATGATGTCACAGTTTTGTCACTTCACTATTTTAGGACAGCAAAAGTACAGTAAATGTCACACAGTACCTCCTGTAAGGTTCCATCTCCCCCAGCAACAATCAGCATGTCAGTGTGTTCCAGAAGTTCCAACAACTTCTTGGCCTGACCCTCATAGTCTGTCTGCATGGCAGCATGAAATAGACGGTTACGTGTCGCCATGGCTACCGTGTGACCACAGGAGAACCACACCAAGGAAACAACACGCACCTTAACAAGTGTCACCTGAACCCCAGCCAGGTGCAAGATCGGGGCCGCGTTCTTCTCAAACAGTTTGTTAGCTTTCCTGCGACAGGAAGAGGAAAGAGGGGTCGCTTTCAGTGCTTAGCAATGTGATTAGCATCTGCTTTGCATTCTTTGGAGCAGGTGGGCAAGCACACATGCACACACACACACACAGACAGACAGACACAGACAGGCCCAATCCCAATGTCCCCCAAGGCCTAAACCCTGAACCCTCACAGGCTTAACTGACGTCACCTGGTAAGTGACTGGGTGTGAGAGGCCGCAGGGGCTCGAAATGGCATTAATAGGAATGGGACAGCACATTGCAAGGTTACCTTGACAACGTCAAAACATGTTCTTTACTATTGTGGTTTTGGGACTTTTTATTTTAAGATTTACACTTTCTTCACAGCCAAGGCACTTAAGGGACCGACTGCCTAATATGGACGTGTTCCAGGTCTTGCCTTGCAAAGTGGATGAGAGGTAATTGTCGGATAATCAATGTGCTCTTTCTGTCAAAGAAGCATCATTAAGCAACAGCTAAAAGAAATGGTTTCTTTATCATTGACAGTACTGGGCTTCCCCTGGTAGCCCTGTGATTCATGTCACAACACTAGGAACTGTGAGTAAAATCAAAGGCTTTGTCTCATTTGCCCCACTTAGGGGCAAGTGCACTGAGATACTACACTCTGTGCTGATGTATGGTGACATAAGATGCAAAGTGTGCAAGTGCATGTAAAGAGCTGAAGTGCGCAGTGATTTCTTGGAAACAATGGGACACACTTGATATCCGAAGCAGAGAACAAGAAACAGACTATGACTATGTTGTCATTTGTGTTGGTTGCGTTTGGTGTTGTTCTTCACTGCAGCCCAGGCTATGTAAACATTAGTTATACAACTCTTCACACTTAAACTGAAACTTCTTAGGAGGCATGTTGGACTCTGATTAGCCGGCAGATTTCCTCATGTTTGATGTTAATGCAGTGCATTGTGATCTATATACTTATCCAAAGACTGCTTCCATCCTGAATTTGCCAAAGTGTTGATAAAGTGCACATCACTCAAGCTGCACTCAGCTTATTTGAGGGATGGGACACCCTTGGATACTTGCGGTACACATTTGAACGCGGCCGCCAAGTGAGACAACGTCTGCATAAAAGCGTATTTACACAAATTGTGCATAAAGGGCTCAAAATGTCTGCAGGACTGCCCTATTGCAATTGACGATTTGACAATGGGACAGCCCTAAGACCTCAAGAACTTAGCAGGAACTCGCCTCAGAGTCCCCAAGTGTGAGAGTGGACATTAGGTCACACACATGATCACGCACGCACATAACGCACTTACCCATTGCAAGCGGCGGGATTAAGAATGACAGTGGCTTTTTTCAGCTGCTCCTGCGGTAATATGAGCTGACGGCCGAATTCCTGAATAAATGGAAATGAGCATACTCAGATAGCACTCTTTGGTAATGGAAAACATATACGTATAAATAATGAGGTGGCGGAGGAGACGGTATCACCAACAAAGACAACAGAGCTATATAAAGGGCAGTAACACGTAATCCTCACCCGGGCCTCGAGACAAGCCTCCCTTCGTAGTACGCTGTCACTGCAAAGCATTAAATCATCATATATTGTATTATACATAAGGTTTTGTAAAAATTAATCATAATGTCACTGACAGTTCCAAGGTTGTCATAACAGACCCAGTTAAAGGGTCTTTCCTCTAAAATTAAAGCAGAAGCTTTATATGCTTTTAATGTCATAAAATACCTATCTTCCTACATTTATTATTGCATTATTTGTTATAGGGTTACCAATGTTTTCCGTAGAGCCAGTGTCCTCCGTATGACAGAACACAAAACGCGAAGGTTGATTTCTTCCAGTGATTTCGCAGAGTTCTCAAGACCTTCACCACACGGGCCATGGTCTTAATTACAAAAATTTATTTACACAAATCTGTCCTCCACAAAAATGAGTTGTTCATCACGATTGACGTACCGTACTTTATAATGATCATGAACCCGTAACACCTTCTAATGCACACTTCACACTGCTACTTATAATAGTTGCGTCGCTAAAACTGTCCTCCCTGGAAGGAAACGTTGTCCATGTTACTTGGTTCCTACTAAAGATATTCAGAAATCCTCCGTGTAAGTGTTTTGAATTACATTTACTGCGACATTATTTTCAATTACTTCAAAGCATCATCATTGTTAATCCAACAAAACTGATCTTAACCTCTTATAATGATTGAAATATAGAACACGTGTGTGAATAAAATCGAAATTGGACTACATTTACCAAGATTACACCACGCTCACGGGGCCTTGCCCTACAGGGATACCAAATGTTGAATTTGTAAAACCGCTTTGGGAAAATATGAAAATATAAGCATTCTATTATATTGCATTAAATATAATCTATTGTTCGATTTTCCTAAAATAAAGTTTTTAAAGGATGACGATGTGATGCCGTTTTTTTAAAACCTGGCATTATGTTGGACAGCTCAGGCTGCCGGATTTCTCTTCAATATGGCGGCGCAGATGGCGGTAAATTCAGGTATAATGTTTTATTTTTTTCTGATTTCAGATAGTGAATAGTACTGTGAGCCACAATAACATGAATTAGTGAAATTAGATATTTTTTTTCCAAATGACTTTGTAGTTAGTTTGGTACCCGTATCTTGTTTTGCTAGCAAACAGTAGCAAAAAGCTGTGGAGTCAAGTACAGACCGTAGTAGTGCGGAATTAAGGAAACTATTTGTTAACCGACTCGTTATTCAGTATCTAGTCATATGTGAATTTGTAGGCGAGTCAGCTAATTTTATTTATGTAAGTAATGATAATGCAATGTTTCAGATCGGTTATATGAATACACTAATTTGAAATGTGCTCACTATGGCTGAGAAGCGCCGGCGGGGATCTTTTCTTCGTGCCGCCGCCGCTGCAGTTCTAGCTGCGGCCCACGCTGGAGCAGCGTTTATAGAAAAGGAGAACACACGACTATGAATAACTGTGTACACCCCCTTATTTATCTGCGTGTTTATATTTGTATGTTCAGTTTTTCTACAACCCTTTTTTCACTCTGTATTTTCTCCACACGCTGTGCTTGTATTTGTTCTGTATATGTGTATCTGTGCACTTCATCTGCTTTGCTACTGTATGCAAACGAATAGTACGGAATGAATAAAATCCGATTGGCCCGATTAAAGGGAAGTATTCCGACTAACTTCACGTAGTCTACAAAGTACGCTTGAAGTTACTCTCGGTTGGGGTTACATAATGGCAGATAGCCAGCTTTAAAACAAAAGTAAGGCTGTTATACACAGAAAAGTGTGCCATTATTTCCCCAAAAATGCAAACATTTTGCATCCCGTTTAAAAACAAGTGAAACGTCTCGTGTTATGACATTCGTTGTGGTGTTACAAATCTTTCATTATTATTATTATTATTATTATTATTATTATTATTATTTCAGCTGTAGATAGTTTTTTTTTAGCATACACACGGACACCGTGTACAAATCCAGAAATAAAATGAATAAAAATATTCTTTGTGGTTACAGTGTTACATTTTAAAATGTTTAAAGTGCATGTTTATGCTCGTCAGACTCCAAGTTTGTGTACCGTACAGATGTATCACACTGTAATGTTAATTTTATGACTTATCTAGAATTAAATAAGAATTCGGTTTCGTTTGTTTAGGTTGTTTAACGTAACTGCTTGAAGTGAGTCTGTTTACACGTGCAGAAGTGTTGTGGTAGCTGTTGCCTGGTTTGTCTGTTCTCACTGAGATCCTGGCAGAAAGGTCTGGTAATACATGTGTGGGGAAAAGGCTGCTCCGGTCCCCGTCTCTCCGGTCCCCATCTCTCCGGTCCCTGTCACTCTGTGCTGGCGGCCACGGTGTAAAGCATGTGGGGTTCTGCCTGCAGGAGCCAGCCTCTGGGGGCCGCTGAAGGAGTTGTGGGAGACCGTGGAGGGGGCGATATGGAGGAGGCAGCAAGAGAGCATCCATCTCCTAGACCTGCAGCTGAAGAAGCACAAGCCGCAGTTCCTCTCGCTCTTCAAGAACCCGGTGGGTGGGGGGGGGGATTCTTTATACATCTAGAAGTTAAAGGATGGGAAACGTTGGTGCCTCTTTAACTGGCCGTGTGTGTTTGCCGTCACGTGCAGCCAAAGAGTTTGGAGCAGAGAGAGATGGTGAGGAAAGCCAGCACGGAAGGCATCGCCATTCAGGGCCAGCAGGGGTCGCGACTTCTTCCCGAACAGCTCCTGACGGAGGCCTTCATACTCAGCGACCTCTTTGACATTGGGGAGCTGGCGGCCCTGGAGCTGCTCCTGGCGGGTGACTATGGCCTCCTCAGCTGCCCTCAGGGGGGTAATGGATGATTCGCTGGGGCCGGGGGGTGTTCCTTACCGCTGTATGTTTTTCTCCTCCCACAGGGGAGCACCAGCAGCCCCATTTCCCTGGACTGACGCGGGGGCTGGTAGCTGTACTCCTGTACTGGGATGGGAAGCGGTGCGTGGCCAATTCTCTGCGCTCCCTCATCCAGTCCCGCCATGGCAAGACCTTCACGCTGGACCTCAGGTTGGATATGGACCCGAATCCTGCCTCCTTTTCCTTTCGGTGTTTCGCTCGGTGCTCCTTGCTTCTCCCTGAGCTCTGGGCATGCTCCCTCTCGCTCCCTCTAAGCGGAGCTGCCCCCCTCACCCCCTTCTCATGTTCTCCACTGGGCCCCTTCAGCGCCGAGCTGGTGTCGCTCACCACGCGCTTCACGGACGAGCTGATGAGGCAGGGCCTGGCGCGCCGTATCCTGACGCTGGTCTCGGAGATCAGCGTCACGCGGGAATTCGAGCGCCTCCAGAAGGAGCGCGGCCTGGGCAACGAGAAGCACCGGAAGGAGGTGAGAGGGAGACGCCAAGGGCAGTGTGTACCCCGCCACCTTTTTGAGAAGCTTTTGCTGAGGTGCATTCCACTGCCCCCTACAGGTCACCGACCTCATCAAGGAGTGCCGCCAGTCGCTAGCTGAGTGCCTATTCTGCTGGACCTGCCAATCGGCGCTCAGCAAGGACGACACCTTGGCCCTAATTGGCTACTTGGAGACGGTAACGGTGGAGGCCGACGGCTCATTGGACAGCGTGAACCTGGCATTGCTCATGGCCCTGCTCTACTGCCTGGACGTCACCTTCCTGGAGCAGGGGACGGAGGACCGAGAGGGTGGGAGGGTTATAAGTTTAAGCCCTTTCTGAAGTTTTGATGTCAGTGATGGTGCTTTGCGCATGTGAGGGCCTGCAGTGAGCCCCCCCCCCCCTCTGCTCTGCAGACCTGGTCCAGGCGCTGCCCCTGCTGACGGAGAGACATTACGTGTCTGCGGTGCACAGCCGCCTGGTGGACGGCCAGCCATGGAAGCTGCCGGGTCTGCAGGCTGTGGCCCGGCTGGCATGGGCCCTGGCACTGAGAGCCCTCTCCCAGCTGCCCCAGGGAGCCGGTACGCGGTCACCACACCGCCCCAGAACACACTATTTACCCCGTGATGTGGCGTGATCTGAAGGACTCTTCCTGCCCCCCCACAGTGCTGCTGGAATTTACGGAGGGCGATGAGTCCCTGGCTGATCAAGCCCTGCTGGACGGCGTCTTCCTCTTCCTGACGGAGGGCGTCCTGGCCAGCGAGGGCTTCCCCCAGGAGGAGTTCTACACACGCCGCCTGCACTCCCTCATCACCGACTTCCTGGCGCTCATGCCCATGAAGGTAGGTGGGGCCCCACATTCTGCACCCCCCCACGCAAATGTGCACGTGACCCAACACCCACCCGGTGTGCTCTTCCAGGTTAAGCAGCTGCGTAACCGTGCCGACGAGGACGCCCGGCTGGTACACATGGCACTGCAGATGGGCGGCGAACCCCCCACCCCTCTGCGCAGGGACCTGGACCACCTGATGATCCTGGTCAGAGTCCCACTCTACGTCCACTTTCCGGCTCCCCACGGTGCCTTCCGGAAGGATGACGCTCTCTCTCCATCTGCAGATCGGGGAGTTTTACAGCAGAGACACCTTCGGCCTGGAGCTGGGTCTGGATTTCTGGTGTCCCTCTGAGACACTGCACCCCCACCACCCCTCCCTCAGTGGCTCCTACATGGGTGTGGCCCTGCAGAGGCCCCCTCATAAGCAGGTCAGGAGCCCCCCCCCCCCAAAGAAAACATAGAAAAACATGATCCATGCAGTGCAAGCAGCTCTAAGTAATCCCTTCCACAAACCCTTATGTAATAAAGGACACATTCAGTACATTGGAATTTTGTCTCCAAAAGCTTTTATATACAAGGAATTATTTCCTTTGCGTTGTTGTGCAAAACAAGCAAGGGCAATTAAGACAATGATAATCATCATTAAAAATTATACACATAAAATGGTGTGCTTGATGCAGATATGTATAAATGAAAAGATAAAGTGCAATTTCACTTGCAGGCATAAAGTCACTGTATTGCATTAGCGCATCCGTAAAAGACTTGCGTAAGTCTGGATTGTAAGTCAGTTTTATGCAGCGCCATCTTGTGGTCTGAGATCTCCCTGCCTGCATATCTGTTGCCAACCTGCAGGTGGTGCTGTCCAAGTTTGTGCGGCAGATGGGTGATCTGCTCCCGCCCACTCTCTATATCCCCTACCTGCGCATGCTGAAGGGCCTGGCCAACGGGTCCCAGTGCGCCCACTACTGCTTCAGCCTGCTCAAGAGCAACGGGACCCCACACGGTGAGGTGCTGCGCGGCCAGCAGGTGACATAGAAAAGAATAGAATAGAATAGAATAGAATGTCACAAGTACCTGGCAACGAAATGCAGTTTGCATCCACCCAGAAAGTGCTTTAGCCATAATATTTACAAAATATATATTAGCAATAATATAGATATATTTCAAAAATGGGTCTATTATAGATATTAGGGTACAGAAATATGAGTGTTACGGGTATGTTACAATGTACACGGTATAAAGGTATGTTATGAATATGCTATAACTATAAGTATAATACAAGTTATAAACAGTTGTAGAATTATAATTTCCGTGTTGTACAAAAATGATTGTTTATACAGCATTTACAGTAGTGCCGGACTTGAAACCTCCTGTTGTACCCTTGAGTTACAATTAATATAACAGCTCTATTGTCACTGTATCAAATATTTAACATGAAACAATAAAATTATTTGTTTAGCATCTGGTAACAGCAGATTGTTGTTATGCCTGTTGGTCTTACGTTTAATAAATGTATCTGTGTAGATAGATAATATATTCAGTTCTCTTACTCAACTTTATGGTACAATAATCATGAAGATTACATTTATATTATTCCTGGGTTGACTTTCAAGCTGTGCATGTTTTTTTGTTACAGGAGAGAACCTACAGGGGGCGCTGACAGGCAGCCCAGTTTCCTGGGAGCACTTCTTCCACTCACTCATGCTGTACCACGAGAACTTGCGACGGGACCTCCCCAGTGCGGATCCGGGACACTGCCGGCACCCACCACTGCGGGGCATCACACACAGGGAGCTGGATGGTCTGTCAGCCTTCCTGCAGTTGCTCATCACCATTATCACCTGGGTATGTGTTGGGCGGGGATGTCTTTCAGCTCTGGACATTTTAACATTAAGGTGTGTTTGTGTCTTATTAACAAGTGTGTATGTGTGTTTCTAGAGTGAGAATGCACGTCTGGCTCTGTGTGAGCATCCCCAGTGGACACCGGTGGTGGTGATGCTGGGCCTCTTGCAGTGCAGTGTGCCTCCCATCCTGAAGGGGGAGCTCCTGCGCTCTCTGGCCGCCTTCGGCAAGTCCCCTGAAATCGCCGCCTCACTCTGGCAGTCGCTGGAGTACACGCAGGTGAGCTGGGGGGCACTGACGGCAGAAGAGAGCAATCCGGGTAGCCTGACAGTGTCGCTGCGAGTTTGTGTTTTTACTATATCTGTCTGTCACAGATCCTGCAGACAGTACGAGCTCCAGGACAAAGGCAGGCTGCAGGCATCGAGGTACAGTTGAGCCTTTTTTCCTCATTCCAAAAATTTTGTGTTATTGTCATCGTATAAAGCAGGGGTGGTCAGTCTTATTCGGAAAGGGCCGTTGTGTGTGTGGGATGCTAAAGGTTAGGGCCGGGCAATATATCGATATTATATCGCAATAATCATCAGGGCTTCGAATGACGGGCAAAACGTTTGGCCTAACGCCAGCTTTTCGGTACTATACGGATGTTTGTTTACTCCCACAATTTAAGCAGATTAATAGTATGACACCCAAAAGTTAGTAAATTCTGCACATCCTTATGATTAATAAAGGTGTCAGACTTTAAACTGCAAAAAGTACCGTCACACCACCGGTGTGTTTTTACCTTGTTTATCCACAAGATCTCCTCTTTCAAATGATGTTATGGCTGCTGAGCTGCTCCTTTCTTCACTGAGCCTTCAGTGCAAATCGCACTAAAGTATACCAAGCATAGTATACCAAAACAGCATAATGTGGTTTGCTCCGCTAACCAAATTGTCACAAAACGCATCTCATTAATATTTTAGCTGTACTACTAATAAATGTCAAATAAATGTCCTTATAGAACCGAAAAGCTGACTTCCGGTCAAATGATTCGCCTTTGATCTGAAGCCCCGGTGATTATTGCACATGCACCATATAATATCGATATGATATCTCCCAGGTCATCCCAAACACCTGCATACACACTGGCTCTTTGTGGATAAGATTTCCCACCCCTGTTACAAAGCATGATGACCCATAAATGGCGCTGACTGTAGGAATTTAGCAGATGCTATTATCCAAAGCAACAAAAAAAATTTTTTGCGGGGGAGGAGTTGGGTCAGCCAGTCCCTGGAGTGTTTAGGATTTGAACTGCCGACCATCCGATTACAGGCACAACACCCTAACACACTGAGCCACCCACCGCTCAGTGGGGGGTCATATAGACTTTTTGGAACTGAAATGAAATTAGTGCGTAAATATATTGGATTGTAGTTGTATAAACACTTGTAAAGTGAGTAAGCTAGTCCACTTCTTCCTCCTTCCATCACGCTTCAGTCCCGTCCAGATTTCTAATCTTAAGGAACCAAACACTATTTCCTGCCCAGCCTGATAGTGGGGACCGTGCTCTTCTGAGCGTTTCTGGGTGTCTGTGGCCCTCGCAGGTGGAGCTGAACGAGATCGAGTCAAGCTGTGAGGAGTATCCGTTGACCCGCGCCTTCTGCCATCTGATCAGCACGCTGGTGGAGAGCGCTCTGCCAGTCAACCTGGGGGCGGGGCTTCGGCCGCCCGGCTTTGAGCCCTACCTGGCCTTCCTGCGCGACGCAGTCTTCCTGCCCTTTCCTACGCGGGCGTACCGGCGTGCCGCTGAGAAGGTATGATTCTAGCCGTAGGCAAAAACATGGCTGCCTCTAGCCGTAGGCAAAAACATGGCTGCCTCTAGCCGTAGGCAAAAACATGGCTGCCTCTAGCTGTAGGCGGAACAAAAAACTGCCTAGGGCCCCAAATTACTTGACCTGCAGAGGAAATGAAGTAATCTCCAGTTTTCTTAGTAGGGAAGTCTCCCAAGTAAAGCTTTTCTTGGGGCCTCTGAGAAACTAGATGCGGCCCTGCCTGACGAGGCGCCTTCCCCTTCCGCAGTGGGAGGTGGCTGAGGCTGTGCTGGAGGTCTTTCACAAGCTGCTGCGCGACTATGAGCCGCAGCCCGGCGACTTCGTGCCGGAGATGGTGGAGCTGCAGGGCGAGCAGGTGCTGAGCTACAAGCCGCCGGGCTACAGCCTCATGTTCCACTTGCTGAACGACTCGCCCACGCTCGCCCTCTGCCTGACCCTGCTGGAGGAGGGGGTGCGGCAGCTGGACACCTACGCCCCCTTCCCCGGTTAGTCCGTCGCCCCTGTGTCCGGCACCTCCGCTGCTGCGTGTCGCTTGCGTTAAATATGCATCGTCCGCCATGCAGGTAAGAAGCAGCTAGAGGGCGCCGTGCTGCACTGCCTCTGCCTGCTGGAGCTGGCCCTGCAGAAGGAGGTGGTGTTCATGGACCTTCTGCGGGAGAGCCAGGCCACCCTGCTGGTGTCGCCGCTGGAGCAGCTGCTGCAGGGCGTCAACCCTCAGAGCCGGCGTGCCGACCACACCGTTAACATCGCCAGGTACGGCGCGCCGCGCTCCGGCCTACCCGCGCTGTGTCGCCCCCTACCAGCGCTTCACAGTGGCGCTGTGTGTCCCTCCCAGGTACCTGTACCACAGCACCTCCAATCCGGAGGCCGCCTTCCACAGTGCCAAGATCCTGCGTCACATTGCCCGCTACCCCAACATCCAGGCGCGGTTGGTGGGCGACTTCACTCACGACCAGGTGAGGTTGACCCCTGCTGCCCTCTGCTGTCCGATCTGTGGTATTACGGATTAATTAAAGGTTTCGGGGTGCGGCTCCCCCCTCTAGGCTGTCAGTGACAAGCTCATGGCTGGTTTTGTGGAGTGTTTGGACAACGAGGAGACTGAGGAAAGCACGGAGAAGGGAGACGGTGAGTGACTGGGCCCCTTGTGTGCCCGCCGGGGGGCGCGGCCGCCTGTCGGATGCTCACGGACACCTCGCCCACAGATGGCGACCCGGAGAAATGCGTGGAACGGCTCCGGCACGAGACGCAGGTGCACATCCTGAACCTCCTGGTCACGTCTTTGGAGCTGAAGGCACCCAACCTGGCGCTGTACCTGCTGGGCTACGAGGTGAAGAAGCCCATCGCCACCACCAACCTGCAGGACCCAGGTACGGGCACGCCCACAGGGAGCCGCTGGACATGCCACCCTAACGGGACGCCTCTGCCTGGCACTGCCAAGCAGGCATAGGCCCTCCATACGTTCTCATCTGTGACCCTGTGATGGGCGTGTGTCTGTGGGTGTCAGGGGTCCTGGGCTGCCCGCGGAGCTGCCTGCACGCCATCCTGAGCCAGCTTCAGAGGGGGAGTGAGAGACGCTCGGGCCCCCTGCTCAGCCGGCAGGCCCCCCACCTCGCCGAGCTCTGCTACCAGGTGACACCCTCCCCCCAGAGCAAGGCCTTTTATGCATGCATGTTTAATAGCACCTGTAGCTCAACGAATAGCATTGCGCTAATACCACAGAGGTTGTGGGTTTGAATCCCTGCGAACGCACCTGAATTGTGATACGTTCTAATGTTGTTTGCCTCACTTGTACATCTTGTTGGACGAAAGCATTCGCTAAGTAAAACAAATGTGAATGTAGCTGACCGGATCTCAGCTGGTCGTGCTGCTTGTAGGTTTTTAAACTTTACACCCCTAACAGCACCGTTACCCAGAGACCAATTTGCTTTGATTAACTTAAGCGTTCGGGCGGAGGTTCAGAACCTCCTCCTGGTCCAGGTGGGCCAGCCGTCAGAGGACTGGCGTTGAGTGTTCTCCGTGTGCTCCGCCCGCCCAGGTCATCTACCTGCTGTGCGCTTGTCCGGAAACGTCTGGACCCACCATGCGCTACCTGCGGACCGGCCAGGATTTCCTGTACTCGCACCTGCAGCATCTGCCCTTCGTGCTCCCAGGTACTCGGTGCTTCGTGCTCAGTGGCCTCGTGTCCGTCCGTTTGTCCATCCATGTGTCCATGCCCTAACCCCTCCGCCCCCCCACCAGGGAACGGGATCGCTGCCCTCTCGCAAATGTCCTGGCTGATGAAGACGGCGGCCATTGAATTGCGTGTGACTTCGCTGAACCGCCAGCGCTCCCATACACAGCGGCTGCTGAACCTGCTCTTGGATGACCAGCCGCATGCACTGCACACAGGTAACATGCACATCCACCAGGGGGCGCTCTCCCTGTCCGCGCCGCAAGCCCCGCTTCAGCCGCCCCTCTCTGTCTCCGCAGCCGACGGGGAGATGGGGACTGATGAGGAGAACCGGTCAGTCAGCGGCTTTCTTCACTTTGACACGGCGACTAAAGGTGAGTCCCGAGGCAGGCCCTAGGGGCAGCGGGGATGGGTTCAGGGGCGGTGATGGTCACGATGTCCCTGCCTCAGTGCGCAGGAAGCTCCTCAGCGTCTTGGATGCCATCGACTTCAGCCAGGAGGTCCCTGAGCTGTTGCAGCTGGACTTCTTTGAGCGTGCCCAGATCGAGCAGGTCATCAGCAACTGTGAACATGTCAACGAGCATGGCCATACCGTATGCAACGTCAAGGTCTGTTTGGTGTCCGTGTCCCTGTCCGATTCTGCAGCCCGCTATGTCTGTGTCAGTGACGTTGTCAGTAACCGTACCTCTCCGTCTTCCTCCGCCCTCCTGAAGCTGCTCCACCGGGTGCTGATTGCGGAGGTCAATGCCCTGCAAGGAGTGGCCGCCATTGGCCAGCGCCCCCTGCTGATGGAGGTGGGTAGGACTCCTGATGTCCCCTTTGGCAAGAAGGGTCGAATTGCAGTGAGGGGCGTTCCCGTAGAAACAGGTACTCGTTCCTGGTCCTCGCAATCCACTGTCCTACACATGCAATCAGTGTAGAGTCAGGTGTTTTGGGTAGGAAATACCTGTGCAGGACAGGGGGTCACGAGGACCAGGATGAACCTGTAATAAAGAGACAGGCTACTGCTGAGGCACCCAGTCCTGCTTCTGGTGCAGTGGGGTGAAAGATTACAGCTGCTCCTAAACTGTGAATTATTCAGTACATCCATAAAGCCACACAACTGCTAACTAAGTGCAGAGACATGGGTTGTTTTAGCATTTGATTTGCACACTTTTATTTATATCTCTCGGCTGGCCTGGGAACGCCTCGGTGTCCCCCCCGAGGAGCTGGTGGGGTTAGCTGGGGAGAGGGAGGTCTGGGTGCCTCTACTGAAGCTGCTACCCCCGCGACCCAAACCCCGGACAAGCGGCAGATGATGGATGGATGGATATTTACACACTCCTAGCACCCATCTTCTGATTCATGAGCACTGCAAGCACTGTACACAGTACACAGTTGGGGTAGATGGTGGCACAGGAGGTGGTGCTATCGTTCAGTAACCAGAGGGTTGCAGGTTCGAGCCCTGGCTCCTCCTGACCCCATCAAAGTGTCCTTGAGCAAGACACTGAACCCCAAATTGCTCGCGGTGAGCAGGTTGGCAGCTTCAATAACAGCCTCTGCCACCGGCGTGTGAATGTGAGTGTGGATGGTGAATGTGAGGCATGTATTGTAAAGCGCTTTAAGTACTATTAGGAGTAGAAAAGCGCTATATAAATGCAGTCCATTTACACAGGGATTCACCTTTTCCCTCATACTTCTGCAATAAATAAGTGCATATCTGACATATAATTGGAAAAAAAAAAAATCAAGTGCCTCATTCTCTAATTCACTCTCAAAGATGGATTCAAAGATGATGCTTAAAGAGGAAAAAGGTACTAAGCTTAACGTCATGTAAATGTAAGCACATTAGCAAATTAGTTTTACTTACACACAGTGCCACAAGTTCATTATTTCGTATTACCAAGAGGTATGACGTGAGTCAGGGCTGCTCCTCCCGGCCCTGGGGCCTGATCTCTGCCGGACGACCCATCGCCAGGACCACGCTGGGCAAGAACTAACTTCATGTTAACGTTTGAAGCCTGACACCTCCAGCAGTCAGAACGTCTGATTTAACCTCCATAAAACTTCCTTTAACACAAATTACTGTGGTATCACCAACTTAACACCTGTCCATGATGTTACCATTCGGCTGCACAACTAACCATACGGTTGCGACTTGATAACTTTGACAAGACGCACTATTTTCTGTTTATCGAGATGACATTAAGGCTCAAGGAAAAACACAAAAGTTACATGTGAACATACCTCACGTACCACTCTTATGTAAAATACATTTATGACAATCCTTGCTTCCATTGAGGTTTTCCTGTTTCACAGAATCACCCTCTTATGTACTGCAGTTCGACTCCGTTGCCTTTGGCTGCATAATGATGACAACTCCAGACTTCAGAACAGTGACAAAGTGTTTTATGGTGCCGTTGTGTGTGCCCCCTGACCTTTGACCCCCTCCAGGAGGTGAACTCCATCCTGCAGCAGGTCGTGGAGAGGAACCGTGTTCGGCGCAGCTTGAGTGCTAAGCAGCAGGCCCTGCAGTCGTGGAGAGCGCTGGTGGAGACCATGCTGACTGCTTGCCCCCCTGATCTCATCCCGCCAGACATCCGGCAGCTGATCATCCGGGATCTGCTGTTGGACCTTCACGACAAGGTGGGTGTCGCCTTGCCCCGTGTCGTCCTGGTGGGGGCCTGTCACCCGAATGCTGACTCTGCCCCTATCCCCCAGGTGCTCTCCGAGGACGCCGCCAGCGAGCTCATGCCCATCGTGGCTGGAGCGGTCTTCACCCTGACGGCGCAGCTCAGCCAATCAGTGCTGTCAGAGCAGAGTGGGGGCCTGGAGGGCGGGGCCACCTCGGGCTTCGCCTCCATTGCCAACTCGGCGCTGCACCTGATCCTGCGGAAGCTGCTGGACTTCATCCTCTGCACCGGTGAGGCAGCCTTCCTGAGATGCTGGGTGGACACGTGTGAGCGCTCCACACGCTGGTGATGCCCTGTGTGTCAGGGATCTGCACCTATTTCCAGAAGGTTATGGATTCAAACGTGTGTGTGTGTGTGTGTGTGTGTGTGTGTGTGTGTTTCAGGTGGTGGCTTCCAGCGTCTGCGTGCCCATCTCTACGGCTCTCTACTCTACTACCTGCAGATTGCCCAGAAACCAGAGGAGGCAGACACACTGCAGACAGGTGTGACAGGGATGGGGGGAAGGACAAGGGGAGGGGCCAGATATGCTGTGGGTGGGGAAATGGGAGGAGTGGAACAGGCAGTGGTGGGGCTATGAGAGGGGTGATTGGCAAGTGGGGGGGGGGTGTGGTTGGTAGTGGAGTGGGAGGAGCAAACAGGCAGTGGGTGGGGGGAATGGGAGTGGCCAAAGGTGCTGTGGGTGGGGGGTGGGGATGGGAGGGCTGGTCGCTGGGCCTGTCGTCTTTACACCCCTCCCTCTCCGTGCCCAGGGGACACGTCCATGTGGGAGCGGCTGACGGCCCCGGAGGACGGCTTCTCTAAGCTGCAGCGCGAGAACCTGGCCATCATCGAGAGCTACGGCACGGCACTCATGGAGGTGGTGTGCCGGGACGCGTGCGACGGCCACGAGATCGGCAGGGTGGGTGGCGCCGGTGCTCTCGTTTCCTCCTCGGTGGATGATGGGCTGCGGCTATCCGTCTGCCCCGTCGGTCCCCCCGTCTGACCCCGTCGGTCCCCCCAGATGCTGGCGCTGGCCGTGCTGGACCGCGTCCTCTCCATCGACCGCCAGTGCCAGTGGCTCATCTACATGTGTAACAGCGGCTACCTGCGCGTGCTGGTGGACAGCCTACGGCAAGACGACGCGGCTCTGCAGGCGCTGCTGGGACCGCAGCCCCCCCTGCTGAAACCCCTCTACATCTACGAGTCCAAGATGGTGAGCGCCAAGGGTCCCGCTTGTCTCCTATCCCAAGAATTAAGGGCCCGCAGCAGGGATTACCCTGAACTTAGATATGTAAATCCCTCTGAGATATTAAGGATGTTTTTGTAGGTGGGGCGGGGCCGGGTCGGGCCCCCGGGAACCATAACTGATCAGCTGAGCATAGAGACTGCAGTCATTCCCTCTTTAGTCTCCCTTATTGGGTCTCATTTAGGGATGCACCGATTCGACTTTTTCAGTTCCGATACTGATACCAATACCTGGGTTCTTGGCATCGGCCGGTCCCGAGTACCGATCCGATACTGAAATTATTCTGTTATGTGTACAGTAATATCAGGCTTAAATACTGTCTTCCTAACTTAAGACAGTGTAACAAATACACACACATGTATACGCTGAATTATTTATTACAATCAGCCAGCTAGTGCTTACTTTTACTCATTAATCCATATTCATATAGTTTAATACCACGTGTGGGCTGTAGGCCGCTGGCATCGATCGGGGCAGGCCAAGTGTGCATTTCCCCTTACGCTTGTGAGGGATTTTTGCTAGATGTCCTTGCAGGCTGCTTGTGTTTCTGCCCTTATATCCAAAAAGACTTGGCCATTGTCAGCATCGACTCCAGTGAAATGTAATTACACTCTTGAACGTTGAGTTCTCTCCGCCATCACTAAAAGCAGTCTCTGTGTGTGCACTGCACGTTGCTGCGTGTGTGAGAGCGAGCGAGCGCGTGTGCTGCCCCGTACACACACACACACACACACACACACACACACACACACGAGCGCGCAGGTGAGTGTGAGAGAGATCTCACTATTCTCGATTAAAATGCAGTCAGACACATACATGCGATGGCAGCCCCTTGTATGTTATATGTAATAGTTTCCAGCTATAGAAAAGATCAAGGGCGAAGTCTAACTGGGGTTTGGCTGGGGCAGCAAAGGGCATGACGTCTTCTCATCTATGTTTGTTCACGATTAGTGATATATTACTACGGAGCCCCTAAGAGGTCAGTTTTACGTTCCCTCACAACTTTTGCGACGCCCAATCCGCCCCATAGGTCTGCATCGGTGCACCTGTAGTCTCATTCCCCCTCCCTCGACTCAGGCGCTGCTGACACGGGTGGCGCGGACGGCCCAGGGCGCCGTGGAGCTGCTGCGCTGCGGCCTGGTGGCCCACCTGATTGAGTGCCAGGTGTACGACATGCTGCCGGAGGGCGACGCCCATAGGTACACTGTGGAGATGGATTGTGGGTAAATGGGATAACTGGCCAAGCCCCTCCCTCCTCACCTGATTGGCTCTCTCCCACCTACAGGATGTTCAGCCAGAGGGACCCCTCTGGCTTCATCCCCAGCCCCCTGGATCGCTACAGACAGATCCTGCTCCCAGCCCTTCAACTCTTTCAGGTCATCCTCACCTCCACTTCCACTCAGCACCAGCAGGGGGCAGCACAGGTAAAAATTACATTTCTTGTATGCTGAACAATTTTTGGAAGATGTGTGGGTTATAGGTGCTTAAAATGCCAGCATTACAGTGGTCGTTAGGTTAATGCCCCTTATAGCTGCGTGTGTGCGTGCGTGCTCGCCCCCAGGTGTTGCAGTGGCTGATCGTGCACTCGGACACTATCCAGTCCATCCTGCGCTGCCAGGAGCTGAGTGTGGCATCCCTGCAGGAGCTGGCCCTGCTCACTGGCATCATCAGCAAGACCGCGCTGCCTGGTAAGCTTACCCGGAAACAGCCACTTGCCATCCGGAACGTTCCGAGCGGCATCGTCTGACTGCTGGTTAATGTGCGTGTGTCAGGTGCCCTGGAGCTTGGCCAGGATGCCAGCGGCCCCACCCTGATGGAGTTTAAGAGTCACATCAGCCGGTTCCAGGTACACACTGTTCCGCCGGATAAGCTTTAATTTCTGGTGTGGTGATGGCTGCCGGCGGTGACACGTGGCCTGTCCCTTCAGCGGCAGTCCCTGTCCCTGCTGGGTCGCCTGGCGGGAAGCGAGCGTGTGCGTCTGCTCAAGCTGGCGGAGGAGAGCATCTCCCCGCGCGACCCCCCCAACCGCCGCGAAGAGATGGAGGTGGCCATGCAGCAGGTGAGCCCCGCCCCCGTCGGTCACATGGCCCTACCGAGAGGCGGGTGGCCAATGACGGTGTTTGGCCCCGCCCCATTGCAGATCTGTGCCAATGTGATGGAGTACTGCCAGACGCTGCTGCTGCAGAGCTCTGCCCAGGCCCAGTTCAGCGTCTGCCTCTTCAGCCCGTCCGTGGCGGAGCCGGCTGGCCGCGATGGTCCCCGTACAGGTCAGCACTCCCCCCGCATAGATTGCAGTCCTTGTTCCAGATGACGTTCCACAACCTCACTAGTGCTTGACGGATCCACGCACCCCTTCCTCCAGATCCTCTTCCCTCCGCTCCATGTTCCCGCGTGCCCAGCCTGGGTCTCGTGCTCTACCTGCTACGGAACACCGCTTCCGACTTCTTCCGCTTCCATCAGGACCACCGGCAGAACCTGGACAAGCTGCAGGGCCTGGAGCAGCTGCCCCCGGACGAGGTCAAGGAGGTAGGTGAGCCTGGTAGCGTAAGGCTTCACCCACCCACCTGCACTCTTGACTGTTGGGTTTGTAGACCGAATGTCTGCAGGAAGATGAGCCGTGGTCAGTCTGTACTAGGGCTGTCATAGTCTATTATATCAATAAACGAGTGACCTGGCGATTCCATCGAATAATCATTTATTATATAGTATATAATATATGACACGTTGCATTTAGCGCCAGGCAGGATCCTACCAACTATTGCATGGTCACTCATACGGTGAATTTAAGACATTTAAGTTGCATATTTCTGAACAGTGGAAGGAACCCGGAGACTCCGCCAGAAAGCCCCATCCACACAGGGTGAACGTTCAAACTCCGCTCACACACAACGGCAGTGTGCAGCGACAGCGCGGGGAGGCTTGCATGATGTGCGATGTTAATATCCACAGGGCATTTGATGCATAGGCAGCTGTCACCTCACAAGGACCGCAATAGTCTGCTGGGTTCACACCATCAATACGTTGTGCTAAAACATTTTTGGTCAGGGAACCTAAATTGAACAAGCTTTGCAATTCTAATGATGGTTCCTTTTCAAAAATATTTAGTATATGTTTAAAAAATCTGTCTAAAGTTTGCCACTTTTGCACGAGTTCTTCATGCACGCTCTGAGAATCATAATCATGCTCGTCCTGCTGTTTGACTCGCTCATAGACCATGTGGTGCGTTCATGAGAAATTAAACATGAAGAGGAGGGAAGCCAACAGGAGCTGCTCATGAAGACTGCTCATCTTCCACTCTATGGAGATGATTTTGAGCAAAAGCAAGTGATTGCCAGCACTGCTTTGTGTCTCGGTACAATTAATAGCAAAACCGACAACGTATTCGACAGATTCTGTTGGTAGATGTTTGATTTTGATATATAGTCAATTTTCAACTCTTAAATATCACAAATACATCAAAATGTTCACAAAAAATAATTAATATGGTTAATATCTACCATATTACCTGAGATGTGGCTTAAATGGCAGGGCTTACTTTTGTTTTAGCAGTGATTATTAATATGTTGACATAGAGGGATCGAAGAAATTAAGCAAAATAATTTAAGCGCACATGATGACAGTGACAGGCTGGCTACTCCGCGATGCTAATTGGCACATATCTGTGGCTAAGCTCGCATTATTGGGCGAGTCTGTCAAACCGAAAGTCGTCTTTAAGATGCATTTGCATTGCAGTTGTGCTGTGGTGATATTGAAGTTCTGCTTTGCAAAACTGAAAGGTGGCTTCAGTTTCATTCACTTTTAACGTGAAGTGCTTCCACAGAACTGATTGGTTTTCGCGCTTCATTCTCATGTTCATCTGCTGTGCCCCATCGCCATTTCGCCATATCACTAAGGAATCGAGAAGGAAAATTTCAATCAATACTTTTTTTGTAATCGAGTAATGGTGACAGCTGTAGTCTGCATGCTCTTTCTCTGGGTAATGTTGTCAGAATAGTGACTGAGTGTCCCTGTTCCTCCCTCTTCCTGTCAGCTCTGCCAGGCCATAGTGTCGACCTCCGGCGGCGTGGACAAGATCCCCTCGGTCCAGCGGAGCGTTCTGGCCAAAAGGCGCCTGGTCCAGCTCATCAACAATCGGGCCAAGCTGCTGGCTCTGTGCTCATGTATCCTGGTTTTAGGCGGGCGGGGCGGTCCTGTGGCCTCACTGAGGGCGTGTGCGCAGCTTGGTGAATTAAGGACCTGTGTCTATGGATGGAAGGTCATGGGTTCAAATCCCACAGCCAAGAGTTGGCACTGGACACTGGCCTTGTGCTCTGACCCCAAAACTTACTCTCACCTGTATATAAACACGTCTGTGGCAAGAGAAGTGAGATCTGGTGAACTTCCCCATTGTAATGAAGAAGGTTCTGCTCTACGGTTCATTCAGTTCTGGTTGCCTTAACTGCTTACTTACGAAGATATCATAGAGACTTGCTTGTTTGTGCTGTGGCGCCACCTGGAGTACTACCTGCTGTACTGCACGCCCAGTGATCCGAAAGACTCCCTGCTGCCCAATGTTAGTGCATACAGGTCCCGTGTGGGAGATGGTAAGCACTTCTACCATGCTGAAATTTATTTTACATGTACAGCTTGCATGCAGAACCACTGCATGGTTTCTCTAATCTGTCTCCCAGAATCCTTTGGTGTGATGCAGGGGAGTGGTGGGCGGAGCCTGGGTCTGTCTCATGTCAGCCAGCAGGACCTGGAGCAGGTGAGCAGAATGCCAATTCTGGTGTGTAGCGCCCCCTATGCTCAGAGCCTGACCTGCCACTCGCACCCCCAGCTTCAGAGTGACGTGGCGTGCTGCTTCAGTGAGTCCCTGCAGAGGAAGCTGCTGGAGGTGGAGGGCCTCTACAGCCAGATGCGTTCACGCTACACCTTCATCCAGGCCCTTGTGCGCAGGATTCGCGGTCTGCTGTGTCGCCCCAAGAGCTAACCCCCGACCCCCCCCTGGGTACTGCCGCCCCCCCTCTACCCCACCCAGCAATTTAACCAGCTTCTCCTTGATGTGTCTTTCATTTTACACTCAGAAAAGGCTTGTGGGTTGTTTTCTGTAAAAAAAAAAAAATCTAATAAAATTTTCTAAGGTATAAAAGGTGCTGTGAAAGTCCTTTGTCCCGTTTGGCTCAAATTGAAGTGGATTCTGTGGACGGCGCCTAGACGAGACCACTTTAAGGGGCAAGGAGTTTGCTTTATTGGACTTGAGACCATGTACGGATATTCAACAGGCATCTGCTTATACCACCTGGGGAGACAATTATGTACCCAAAAACCACCCCTATTCTGCTTTGTATTTATACTTAAAGTACATTTTCCAGACTAACATTTTAAGTATGGCTTATCTGAGGAACAGATGGAAGGACAGCGGCGCTCATTTTCAGGTTCGGCACTAAATCAAGGACATCATACTGCAGTCGTCTTGGGGCTCAATGTGCTGCTCTTACATTTGAGCGCTCTGCTCGAGTTTGACCACATCACATTAGGATGTCAATGCTGGATTCCCCCCTCTACAAATGAAAACAAATAGTGAATCCAAGCTGTTTATTTACTCTGCTAAAGAAATACCTCCATTTACCACATTTGGTTAAATGTAATATGCATCATGTGACTTATTCTGCAGCTTGAAAGCTTTGCAGAGCTCAGCTGGAATTACACGGACATGCGAGAGAGCAAACTTTAATTTGCAAAATAGACCATTTTATGCATCTCTCACCTACCTATAGGCCTTGGCATTCACAGGCCTTGATTGTTTTTAGTCTATGTGCATACAGCTCGGCAAGACAAACCCTTTGCACCCATGTTAACTGTCAATATACACGCCAACACATCAGCAAAAGCAAGTTTTACATTAATTACACAAGATGGAATAAGGCTGACCACTGCTCTATCCAGCAGGCTGAAATACTGTACACATCAAATGCAAAAATGTTATGGCAGATGCCACCAGCTGTTTGACAGAACTGTGCAAAAAAAAAAAAGTTACCCATGGTGCCTTGCACTCCCAGAGACAGACCTGAGGGATTAGATGTAGTTGCCTTCAGAGTACCAAGGACGGGAGGCAGCTGCAGCGTAGGAAGTCCCCAGCAGCTGCTCTGATTCCCCACCAGGGTTTGCTTATTTGCAGCTCAAACTGAATTTCGCAAATAGTCTCAAGTCAGTAAAACACTTCTGACCGGCCATGAGTTGCAGTGTTTGGAGACATCCATGATAGATGCCCAGTCTTGCTGTCCTAGTTCCCTCTTGCTGATTTTGTGGCCAGGCAGTATGACTGATTACAGATAATACCACAGAGGTCACCAGGTACCACTGAACTGACTACGGTTGGTGGCTGTGTCCTCCTTTATCCTGTTCAGACTCTGATACAGAGTCTGTTCTCCCTACCAGCAATGTCCAATAATCTTCTGCCTTATGGGAAAAGATGCGAGTCCCTGGGACTCTACCTCAGTAGGGTCATGTTGGAGGTGATAGAAGACCACAGATTCTAGTGTTGATTTGATTGTTCTGCACCCGTTTCCAGCACCATCCAGCCAGGATGAGTAGCCCTTGCAGAGGCCAATTGGCACTATTTGGAAGATTGAAGGAGTCTGGTGTTCATCAAGTCAGAAAATGTTCTTCTTGAGAGCATATTTGAAGGAGTGTGAAAAGTTCCAACTGGGCCCAAATACACCCATCGTGGTCACCGTGGCGTCTCAAACGTCTAAGGGTTGGGTTCCTCTGCACCTTCCGATGTACCACCATTGCTGGGCGACGGCTGAAGCACCTCCCCCTTCACCGCCATGCGGATCACCTGCAGCCAGCGCTGCTTCAGGTCTTCAGTCTCCGCTGCGAAGCTGTGGACCGACTTGGACTGGGAGAGGCGGAAGCTGGCGGGTAGGTCCGTGTGTCGGGGGGAGTCCTCCACGGTATAGCCCAACAGAGGGATGGTGGACTGAGCCTTCACATCCTGTGAAAGAAGGTAGGGGAGGTCGGTACTACCAAGGCATGGGTGGACATGTGTGGCTTGCAAACATCAAGTGTGAGTTTGAGTTCTTACCTGAGGTGCCCCATATAAGTACAGCACCAGGGCCTCCGTCTGAGGGATGACACACCACATCTTCTGCCAGGGCTTGGTCTTCTCGCTGTACTGTAGGAAGCCACACATAATGCTGTTCCCCGAGAACTGGGCTGCCTCAATCTGGGGAGGATGGGGGATAAGAATTAGCTCATGGCAGGCAATGTCCTCGCGAGAGACCGACAACACACTGGCCCCCAACCCACTAACCCACCTCCAAGATGCCCTTCTTCTTGGCTCTCTCTTCGCACTCTGTCTGGCCTGACAGAATGGAGTAGCAGTCCTTGCACACTTTGCACATCTTGTGGCCGTCGTACTGCAGTGCCGCCTTGTAGTCTGAACACTTCCAGCACACCACCTTTATATCGGGACCCCAGAGAGAGCAGGACAGTCATATAATGTGGGAATCATATGATTTTCCACAGACCTCATTGCCTGCTCGTTCTATACCGGCTGCCATACGGATGTGGCTGCCAGGTGGTGACCAAATGACACATGGTCTGTAAAAGGGTCATTTAGGCTCACTTACGTAACCACAGGCCCGGCAGTGATGTCTACGGCGCGTCAGGGCGTTGAAGGGTTCTTTACACTTCATGCACATGGTCACCTCATTGTCCCGGATCCAGCGGGGGGCACGCTTGCCCAACTCAGCAGTCTAAACACACACACGCAAATGTATGGGTATGATTTCTTCTCAAATGTTATGCTTTTCTACAAAAGGGCCCAGCAAAGAGCATACTGACTGCCATATCATCCTCTGCCTCCTTTGATGCAGTCTTGAAGGTCTCGTTCTTCTGGTGGAACACGGCAATTGTCTTTTCGAATGCCTGCAAAACGGAGACTAAATCAGTTGTTCACTACCCTGGATTAGCAATAGAGATGTCATTGGTTGAGAAATCGCATACCTTTATCCAGTCCTCTTTGTCTTCTGCAGAACTAAAAGAGGAAGAACATTCGATAATTAAACACAAGGGACTCTTTGCCTGAACTTCATGCAGAGATGAATTACCAGTCATTCGTACCTGGCCTGTAGCTCGAGTGTCCTCTCCTTCCCAGACACCTGGAATGTGTGGGGGTAGTCCTCATTGGTGGTGGCTCGCACCTCCATACCTTCAATGCCGATGCGTGTGCGGACCGTATACTTCTGTCCAACCAGGCTGAACTTCGGCACGCAGTAGAACAGCATGTTGTTGAACTGAAAAAGTGGATGGCAGAGTCGATCAGAACAACAGACATCTCTCTCCAACAAGGCCCAAGGGCTGCATGGGAGCCCTTCATTCTGTCCTCACCAGGAAGAGGTATCTCTCCATAGCAGAAGTGTTCCTTGCCGCAAGCTTGAGGATGCTACCCTCCTTGATGAACTCATTTGAGGCATTCACAATGTCCTCCTCGCCTCCCAGCATCTCATAGATCTCCAACAGCTTCTTGAGGTTCTCCTTCGAAGGGAAATGTCAAAAGTTGAGCTGGACTTTTTCATGGATATCTTAGCACAGGAATAGCATAACATCCCTATCGCCAAAAGCATCACAATATTCTTTCTTATTAACAGAACCTAATCACTACTAATAAACTCCCTAAGCTCACCATGTTTCTAATAACTCAGGGGAGGAAGAATAAAGATCAGAACCTCCATTTGTTTCCAGCAGGACCTCAAAAATAGCACGACTGCAGGCTGTATTATGTCACCGAGTAGCATGGTAGTGTTTCTCTCAGCAAAAATACGGGAAAGTCCTGAGCTTGCAGAAGTGCCACCCTGAGCTCGCGGGATCTCCCCATGAAAAAATGTGTTTCCATACATCTAACCTCCGTGTTAAACCTCACAGGGCTATGCAAGCGAGCGAAGAAGAGCGAAGCTAACTGACTCATTCAGTTAGCACTGCAGAGCTCTATTTCGAACGAGAAAACTGGTTCTAATGCACCCACACGGTACATTAATATAGCCCAACTCACCGTCTTCTGAATAGCGCTGTTGGAATGAGTTGCCGCCATGGCGATGATCTCCAAAGATTCTGATTAACAACATTGGCCAGTGTTTAAAACCAACAAACTGCTGAGGAACTGAAGCTTGAAACAGGCAGTAAAAACAGCAAAACGGGTAATGAAAAGGCGGGGGGGAGATCTCAGGCATGTCGCTGAGGTCTGCCTTACTCTCTGCATCTGGCCGGTCTACAGCTTCCTGGGGAAGCTTCTTCAGGTAGTCCTTGAGAAGCATCTCGTAGCGTGGGACCCTCTGCACGGGCTCCAGCATGTGGTGCTGCAGGGTGAGGCTGGCACACTCCTCCTGGCTCTATGGGAAAAATGGGCACAGCACTTAAGGATCTATGTTGACGTGAACTCAACTTTGGATCTTGGCTACATAGGTCTGGAAAGTAAACCAGTTAGTTAAAAATGGCAAATTCTATGGCTTCTTGGATTGAACGCATCTGTATGTGTAATTGACCTTTTTTTCATAAGATGTTGAGATCCCCCTTTGTTTTAGGAATAATGCATTAAATGCGATAACACCATGCATCTTCTGCGGACCTGAATGTCATGAATGATGGCCTTAAACTGAGGGGACTTGTCTGTCCAGATCTTCAGCAGCTCCATGGCCTTGTCAAAGTTCTTCACGTACTCAGCGTACATCTTCAGAAACGGTGTGTGCTTCAGCAGAATGTCTCCGATTCGGGGCTGCGATGCCCTGGCAGGAGACACACCCATGTGAAACTCCCACACATATGTAAACCAGCATCGTACTGCAAACTGACACATCAGGAATGCAACACGCTCCCGTCGCGAACAGTCCCAGCCGCCTCACCAATCGCTCATGCGCTTCTCCAGGTCTGGCAGCAGGAACTGGCTGTGGAAGGCGTTGATGGATGAGATGTTGGAGAAGATATTCATCACCACATCTACTGGGTATGTGCCCTTCTGACCCTCGTCTGTCAATTTAGCACGGAACACCTGTGACAAAACAGAGTCTTACTGCAGCTGTCAGGAAACCGATGTGGCCACTCATTTGACACACTGTTCTGTGTACTACAAGACTGTGGTATTAATTACCCCTCAATTACGATTCCATTTTACTTTAATAAAAAGATTGTGAATATAATGTACATTAAATACAGGAGAGACCCCTAGACAACATTACCAACTCCAAAAGACCATAAAAATCAATCCCAGAGAATAACCAAGGTAGTTGGAAAATCAGTTGTAAGAATTTCCAAATGGAAATTTTCTGGCATAATGTGAGACGCTAATTGGCGGAGAAGATGGATGATCAAACAGGAAGCCACATTGGAGAAAAACTTTCAATTAGTTGTGGGAAGCCTGTTGCTCCAAGGATGTTTGGGTGTAAACGGACTCAGACAGCAAAAGCAGATCACAGATAACGCGATGGCCTGCTGGGATGGCAGCTGGCTTCATCACTGACCTTATCCAGCAGGTTGAGTCGGGCCACATAGGCTCTCTCTGTCATCAGCAGCTCATTGGCTATCTTGTACAGCTTCTCCTCATTGCTTTCCTACAGCGAAACAGATGGTCCTCGAGTGAGCTGATAATCATCCCTCAAAGCTGTAAGTGATGTTTTCTGTTTTTTTGGGGGATTCCCATAAAGGAGTTTCATTTGCCTAAACCATGGCTGTAACCAATCACATTCTTACTTGTGACATATACAGTTATAGTACAATCTGTACTGACATGAGACATGAGAATAACAAGGGATATTGTGTGGCTCAGCAGGCAAAGCCTCTGTGCCTGTAATCAGAAGGTTGCTGGTTCGAGCCCCGGCCTCACGTCCGTGGGCCCTTGAGCAAGGCCTTTACCCCCAGCTCCATGGGCACCACTTACATGTGTGTCATGGAGCGCGATATGGGGTAAATGAAGAGTATTTCCTCATGGGAATCAATGAAGTATTGTAATTATTACCTCAATAATCATAAATTACCATACTAAGTATTAAGACCCATAGTAGTGAGTGTATGACAAGCAAAGGCTGCTGTAGGAGCAGGCAGGGCGGCGACTGGACAGCTCTGCATTACCAGTGTAGGGAAATCTACACGTAGAGCAATACGGCTAATTCCGTAACCATGTTTCCGGCTATAAAATCAGACCATTCTACTGCTGAAAGGACTTCCTAAAAATTACAGCCCCTGTCATACTTCCATTTTCATCACAATTAGGCCTCTTCCAGTTCCGTGGGAGACACAACCAATGACTGCACACACACACAGACTCACGCACACACACACACACCCAGCTCCATTGTGTCCAGGTGGGTTTGCTCATGCAGCTCTTAGCCACTCTGCATGAGAACGCCCAGTCTGAGCCTGGGCCCACTTCCCCTAGCTGGCCTGTTTCCCCTTCAGCCCAAGCCGCACGACATGACCCTTAAAATGGCGACAGAACTGAAACGAATGGTCTGCAAATCCATGGTGTGAGCCCTCTGTACAAGGCCACGTGCACGACCCCACTACAAATACGCCAGGCGCCAAGGATTCTCACAACGGTCCTTAGCATTTAAGATGGGAACTGGCACTACAAGGGTTTGAAGGTTGACTGTTGGCAGGGCTAATGTGGCAGGAAATGAGGCGAAATGCTGATGCATTATGGGAAGGATGAGGAATGAGCCAACAAGTGGAAAACGGATGTCTGTTGTTAAGCAAGCCTTTACATTCCTCTAGGCTCAAATGCAATCACCCTCCAGAAGGCCACACAATCACCTTCTCTTCTCCTGTCCCTACACTCCCATAATAGTGCTGTGACCAGTCCGCTCCTCACCTACCATCAACAGCAGAGACTGCAGACATGCTGCACTCCGCTATGGCTCTGCTGCTGCATGACCTTGTTAAAACTGAAGCTGTAAGGTGAACAACAGGACGAAGCTTCACAACCCTAATTATTTATAAACATATTTAGCGTCATTAACAAAGCAGTATAGAGCGTCATTTCTTCCTCCACCATGGTGCAATGATTAACACAGCTACACTTGTCCTCTAGTGAAATCACCGCATCTCCCTGCAGAACAACAGGATTTATTTGAGTCCTATTTTCAGCCAAGGCGAATTTTTCTAGGCTATCAAGCTCTGGACAGGTGCGGATGATCTTACCATTACTACTGGCACACTGTCAGAAGCCAAAGCTAAGCAATACCTCTGATATCGACACTAAAAAGCAGAGCCGTCAGCGGACATGCTTTCGCAATTAAGGCTGATGTTGATGCACAAAGTCAGAGCCCCAGGGCAAACTATGCTCTGTATGTAGACGAGCCCCATGCAAACCATTTCCTGTAGCTATTTCTATCTCGCTCTTCGAAACTCTACCCCGTTCCGTCTGTCATGTCTAGCGGGTTCAGCTTCAGTTAAAGAAGACCGGAGGTATTAAAACACGCTTAAGAACAAACGGGTCCGAGAATAAGGTGAGGATGAATTAATAAATGAGTGACAGGGCTCAGATGAGGCGGCGGATCAGGTGCCTGCTTGAGCACCTGTGGTATCTCTTATTCATGAGGCGACCTTATGCAAGCCAGCTGTGTTATTTAGTTACCGTTACGCAGCCCTGCGACCTCTGGAGCAGAAAACGCCGACCAGGTGGCTGAAATGCCACCAAAAGTGACACGAATGCAGGTTCCCAAGAGGCCTCGGCGTCTGAGCAGGGAAGCAGCAATATGGGGCAGCCCGTCCACACCACTCACCTTTGCCTCTTCCTTCTCCTCGTCTTTGCTCGCCTCCTGCGGACCCTCATCCTCATGCGGACCCTCATCCTCATGCTGCCCCTCCTCCTCCTCCGTCTCCTGCATGTCAGTCGCTATACTCAGCTCTGCACATGTGCCTTCGATCTCTGCTGAAGGCTCCGGGTGCTTGTCCTCTCCATCCCCGTTGACCAGGACCACGGTGGCCGCCTGAGGCTCCATCTTGCTGTCATCGGGGGCGGTATCTGGGGCATTCGTCGCGGTCTGTGAGCTCGCGCTCAGGGTGGGTCTCTCCTGCAGGGGCTCCTTCCACTTCGATGGGGGTCTGCTCCCTGGGTTGCAGCTGGGTGATCTGAGGGGCGATCTCTGCAGCGAGCCTTCCCTTTTCACCTCGCTGGGGGGGGGGGGGGGCGGTGGTTACGGCAGAC